TTGGCAGATCATGGTTAGAAGGGGGTTTTTGTTTGCTTGCTTGCTTGGTTGGGTTTGTTTTGGGGTTTTTTTTGGTGGTTTTTTTTGGGTTGTTGGGGGTTTGTTTTGTTTTGTTTAGTTGCTTGTTTGGATTTTGTTTTGTTTTTGTCATAAGAATGCATTTTTTATAAGGAGGATTGGATTTTCATCTCTGTGTAGTCAGACTGCCCAGTAAAACAGGTTAGTGACTGAAAAACGGTTCAGGTGCTTGGTGCAGAAAAGAGAGGTGTAAGACCCCTTATAGAGTTCATGATTCTTACTGATTGAAAAAATAAAGAGACAGTTCCAAAACTGTAGAGAGATCTTAGACTTCTGTGTGGTGCTGTGCCTGTGCAAGTCAGATTGAAGTATGATTTAATCTTTCTTTGTATGTGTGAGTGGAGTGTATTGTTCTTTGTCCTTGCCACAACAGGCTCATCCTGCTGGAGCTTTGTAAATCTTCTGCTTATCTGTGAATTTCACTCTGTGATCAAGGCTCAGCTGTGCTCCTGTGGTTTATGTTCTGAGCACTTAAACCCCTCACTTTTGTGTCAGCACACAACAGACCACATGCTTCCATCTGTGGCATTGTATATGACCATGGCTCAGTGTCTTTGTTACATTATGCTGGAAATGCTTTTAGTTCTGCATCAGGTTGGCATTCAGGACCACCACTCAGCTTTGACTCAGCCAGGACATGAAGGAATCATTTCATCCTTTGGTGGTTAGATTAATCAGTTTGGCCAACAGACATCTCTTACTGTCTCTAAATGAAGCTGGATCCCAGCTCCTCACAGCTGTCTGTGAATCTGGTGAAAGAGGAAGGAAGTGAGGCTTGCTTCTTGAAGGAGAGTCACAGGAAAGGGGGCTGGTGAAGGTACAATGTCATATTGCTGCTACTGCAACAAAAAAGAGGTTCCTTAGTGTCGTGGTGGTTATTGTCAAGCTGGTGACAGCTATTCAAAGAATATCAGAGCAGTTAAGCCTCATTGAAGGAGGACAGTATTTTTTCATGTGACCAAAACAAGAAAAATACGGTGCTTATAGGTGATTTGGTGGGACACTGAATGGAGGTGCATACTGGCTTAGTATTTTTCCATTTGCATATTAAAAACTGTCTGTCTGTTTATTATCTAGTGTTTATTATCTAGTAGGAATGGCTTTTTCAGAAGCTCCAGTGCATAACTTAATTTCTGGCTGTCAGTCTGGAAATGACAATTTCTTTACCTCTGAAGGGAGTTCAATGATGTTCTAAGTCTTTGGACTTCTGTTTCCTTCCTGTTTTCCAGCAGCATATGCTGGCAGAGAGAGAGCTCTCTCAGGAGATGTCATAAGCTTCAGTACCTCCTAGAAACAGGGCCTTTGGGAGTATTTGCTTCCTTTGCACGAAGTGGAAAAATGCTTAAATCCTATTTCTGTGCATCCTGAAAGCTTGATGAATCAAGATCCTGTCAATAGTTTTGCAAGCCTAGAATGTCAGTAACCCCCTAGGAAGTTGGTAACTTCTGTAACTCGGCTCTCTTATTCTTCCCTCCCTGGCATGAACATTCATCTTAACATGTCTCACAAGCCCTGGGATACTTCCAAAAACATGTGTTTCAGGGAGGGAATTGATGAAATTCCTGCATGTATCTTTCTGTTCCCAGTACTAAACCATCCCAACACAGCCATGCTCCAGAGTGGTAATAAACAGTTCACACAGGCAGCTCTTCCCGTGTGCCTGCCCCTTCTGGCCACTAACCATAGCCAGGAGGGGGCTGCTCTGGGTGTGTGTCCTGGCAGCAGTTGGTACTCAGCTTTTTTCACCTCTGAAGTGTCAATGGTTTATTCTATGGACAGCAGTGAATGGGATGCTCTGCCTGGTTCTGTACTGCTGTGAACATACCAGTGCTGCAAACTTGGGGTGTAAGCTTTGCTGCTGGGGACATGAAGGGTTGTGCAGAATCAGACTTGTACTTTTTCTTCTATTGGCCCCAGTTTAGAGTGCATGTATGGAGGTAATTGAAGAAACCCATTATGGGGAGTGTGAAAGCTTAGGAAGCAGGTCATTGCATTGTCTGTTCCAGGCATTCTGGATGCCTTTCTTCTGCTGGATGGGGCCCTGGTTTGCAGAGGTGCTGCATTCTGTCAGAGATGGCAGGGAGAGAGAGCTGGTCCAGTAGGGAGCAGAGGTATTTGTCTTTCTCAGTTTTTCAGGTACCACCACTCCATCATCTTACCCACCCAAGCCTTCCCTTCAGCAATTTTCAATGCCATCCACACTGTCTACTAGACCTCCCCAAAGCTGCAGGCTCTGAAAAGCTTTGTTCCCCTGAGGCTGCCTTAGAAAGGACAGCCCAGGATCAGCTCAGTCGTGTTGAGGGTGGAGGGTGTTGATGTTCTGGCTGCCTAATCCTGACATTTTTTGTCTATTTCCTGGCACTCAGGCAGTGTTCTTCCATCACAGTGAAGATGACATTTTAAAATACTTGTGTGCGTGCTCCTGGATGATGTGATGATACATGAAGGTTGGGATTAGAGGAAAGGGGAGGTGGCTAATTCTGCAATCCCTTCCCTGTGAACAGGCCAAGTCAGGCATAACTGCCTGAACACACTTACCAGCTGCTTCTCTCCTGTCCAAGTGCTCTGTGGAGGTGAGGAGGAATCCACTTTGCAGTTACATAGCCGTGCATCTCCTGAAGACCTTACCTGAGAAGGCCAGATCAGGGATCTGAAGCTGCCTGATGTGGGTGGTGTTTCCAAGCATTTGAGAGTGCTATTGCAGTGTGAATGAGTGCCTGTTTATGTTGCATGGCTAATTTTTTACATAACTGAGAAATCTTATCGGTGTAGGTGGCACTTTATGATAGAAGGGGAACCAACAGTGAGCTAGGAGGGCTCCTAAAGCTAAAAGGGCTCCTAGTGCAGTGGCCAGGCTTACACATGGGCATAGCTCAGGAGAACAGGGAACTGTGGGACTGAGCTCTTTGCTGCAGTCAGCAGAAAGATACTGTGCATGACTCCCAAGCAATTCCAGGTACTTGCTATGGTATAAAAAGGTGTAGGGAAATTGTCCTGTCTGCTCTTGAGTTTTGGCAACTGCTGCGGTGACACTGGCTTTTACCTGCAGCTCTCCACCAGTGCCAGGATAAGTAAGTGTTAAACTGCTAAAAATATCTCTGGTGCTCAAATGGTTTTGCAGTTTAGTCAAAAACCTCTCCTGGACGCAGAATGTGAAATGTGTTGTTAATCTGTTGCTTTGTCTGATCCCAACTGCCCTGAGATGTTGCATGGGCTCACAGTGAAAGGAAGTTTGGCCTCATAAGGTGCAGGATTAAAACACTGGTTACAAAATTATTACAGAAAGAAAAGGTAAAAAGCATAGAAGAGGTAATAGTTAAAACTCATGAGGCACAGGACAGTGGCTTCTCTGAAGCTTATTTAAGAATAAATCTCCTCAAGAACAAAGTCCTCTTGAAAAGCTGCTGCTTAGATTCCTGTTAACCTTTTCTGAAGAAGCAAATTGAATTGCAGTTATAAAGCTGGCAGAACTTATACCAGAACATTTTTAGCTTCAGTCAGCACTTCATCTCAGGGTTTATTAGCATTTACAAGCACTACCTGTGCTGCATTCTCACGTGTTTAGGTTCAAGAGTCGTTTGCACTAAGGCAATGTGGCAAATTTTTCTTTTGCTTCCTAAATCTTGCTCAAAATCCAATTACTTGAACTTTTCCCAGCTGTTTGTTGCTGTTTGTCCCCCAGTTAAGAGGGTCACTTAGAGGCAGAACATGAGAATGTGTGCTCTGGGGTTTAAGGACAGGCCTGGGTTACCATGCTCTGATGGAGCACCCTGGGTGGCTTGACTGATTCTCTATGCCCCAAAATGTCTCAAGAGGGATCTATGATGTATTTTCTCTTATTAAGTCTGGGAAGCTGATGTGAATTTGAAGGGAAAAATCTGGATTTCTCCATCTTTCAGCCAGGCAGATACATGTTGTCAGCGGAAGTGATTTGGGCTGTTCTGCAGGGTCATTGTGACCTGCCAGAAGAGAGGAAGTTCTGAGCAAGACAAATATCCTGTTTTCAGTGTAGTTTCCTCAATTTTGGCTTGTTGAAAATTCTGCAAGAAAAGTTCTGGCATGTGTCAGATACCACATGTGCCTATACCTACTAGTCAGGGTAATGGAGATTCAACACTCCAGAGTTCACACAGGTAAACAGAGAGGGTTTTTTAGAAATGTTTTCATAATACACTGAATTCCTTTTTAAAAGTAAACTAGAATATTTGGTCCTAGGAGAAGTCGTCTTGAGATGATCAAGTCCAACGTTTGATGTAACGCCATCATGTAACTAAACCATAGCACTAAGTGCCATGCCCAGTTATTTCTTGAACACTTCCAGGAATGGTGACTTCATCATACCCTGTGCAGCCTGTTTCAACACCTGACCACCCTTTCAGTGAAGAAGTTCATCCTACTGCAACAAAGCTCTGTTGCCAGTCTTGTTGGTGGCATATCTGTGTAAAATAGTCAAAATCTGTGTGCTTTTTCTAAGACTTCTAGGGTGCCTTATGGTGGGGCAGGTCTGCATCTTGACACTGTATACCCATAGTACAGAGGGGTTTTTGCATTCCTCATTCCTTTCAATAGGTCTCCTGCCAGACTAATAAGAAAGCCTGGTTGTTAGGTTCACCCCAGTCTCTAGTGAACAGCTGTAGGGAAAGGATAGCAGTAAGGATTTTCTGGGCCTCTCTCATGTGGAATCTGTGTTGTGTCACTGTTAAAAAGTATCACCAGTTTGCTGCTTGCCAGTTGGACTGTACTACTGGGATAACAAAGAATATTTAACAATCACAGAAACTATCAGGGGTGTTCTCTGCCATCCTAGTAGTTTCCTAGTTTAGTGGACATTTGTAAGTGGAAGCCTGCCTATGTTTCATATTTATTGTGTAATAGATGTCTTTTGTCTAAGATGTCCTTCATGATACTTTCTTTTTTTCCAGATTGCCCCCAGCCACCACAACCGGAGAATGGAGGCTATAAATGCCACCCTAGCCCCTGCAACAACCCTCTGACTTCAGGCAGTGTCATAGAGTATCTGTGTGTTGAAGGTTACATGCTGAAAGGAGATTATAAATACTTGACCTGCAAGAATGGAGAGTGGAACCCAGCCATGGAAGTCAGCTGCAGGCTCAGTCCAGGTGAGTGCTCCCTGACTCTAGAATTGCCCTTGCATTGACTTTCCAGATTATCCTTAAACACTTGGTGTGATGCTGAGGAAGTCCATATGGCTGTCTCTCGTTGCTCCAGCAATTTCATAAACGTAGCTCACAATCATGACTCATTCTTAAAAACACCTCTTCAGTAGCAGCCCATTAGATGCAGACTTAGAGTCCCTAATAAAAGGAGAAAAGCCATGGAGAGGAATATAAAGTAGGCAGCTAGTAACTTACGTGGAGCCTCTTACCTTGAGGTTCTCATCCCAGTAATGCTGGAAGCCCTAACAGTAACATTTTCCATGCTGTCTGGTTTTCCTTGATGATTTTGACAGTACATCTCCCTCAGAGAGTTTGCACACACGTGTTTGTGTGTGTGTGTGTAGAGTTGTTCTTCCTTGCCAACAGGTTAAGTAGCTGTTGGTTTCCTGTGTCAAAAAGATTGATGGTGCTGCTTTTCACTGTGCTGGCCAGAAAGGACATTGCTGACAAATGGTTTCTGCTTCTCTCCAAATGGAAGTAGGCAACTTTTGTTTTGTGTCTCTCCCAGCTGAACAGGAATTCCTCCATCAAACCAGCAAAGTAAAAAGATTTGCAGGAAAATTTTCATTGTACAGCTCTTAATTTGTCTACTTCTCTTCTGGTTTTAACAGTGAGTATATTGGATAAAGGGAGAACTCCCTCCCCTCTTCTGGGTGGGCTTGTTGATAGAGCCTTACTACTCAGTCATCCTGAGCCAGCAGGAATTGTGTCTTCGGAATTGTGTCTCACAATACATAAAGCAAAATGTGTCAGCTTAATTGGAAAGAAACAGGAAGAAAAAAACATTACCTTCATCAAGCTCTTTATGGAGCTCACTGCATACCTGTGATCTCTGGAACATCCTGTCCTGTCCCAAAGACAGTGTCTTTTCAGTGTCTCTGCCACTCCAGTAGCCCCTTCCTATGATGTACAAGGAAGGATCTGAGAGTTTACCTGGCAGCAAATAGATCCTGAAGAGGTTTTCCAAATTCAGCTTAAACTTCCTTTCCACAGTGATCTCCCTTCCCTTTCTGCGCCCAGGCTGGAGAGCAAAGCTGTGCTATTGCACATAGAGTTCCCTGAGTAGCATTCCTGCATGGTGACACTTGGTCTAGCTTAAGGATTGTGTTGTGATGAGCAGAAATCTCTCAGATTGCTTTAGCATCTTGAAGGGTCAGTGGCATTATCAAAAATATGATGCCTCAAAAGTCTGACCCAATGAAAAAGCCGTTGTTTTCACAACACAAGCTCTGAATCAACTGTTCAGGGTCAGAGGTAGCTGACTCTTAACTCTAGTGGATCTCTTTCAAATAGCTCAAAGAAGGGAAAGGAGGTGGGAGACTCCAGAAAGGCAGTTAACATGATTGGTAAGATCCTACCTGCTCCATATAGGATAAATTAAGTCCATAGCAGTTATCACGTGTTTTGTGTAGCTCTGAGCCTGTCAGCCCCGTAGCCTTTTGGCAGTTTATTGTATGGGTTAGTAACATTTTTTTTGTCATATGAGATGGTAAATATTCTGGAATACACCCTGGATAGTGAGCAGTTTGACAGTATCATGTACTGGTGCTGAAAATGGAGCATCTCTACTTGCCTACCCTTGTTCCTGTTAGAGCCCTAAGAAATGCTGAAAGTTAAAATCCTTACTCAACCCTATTTGCCATAGGGAAAAATGTGCTAGTCACTGTTTTTTTCCTGGGGAGAGGTCAAGGTACTTCTAAAAGATTTCAAAGAAACAAGTTCAAAACAACTAAACCAAGTAGGTTTGACCCGAAGAGATAATGCGGAAAATTGCAAACTAGGTTTCCATCTTAAATTCCTGTTTTGGGCATAGATTTCAGGCTGTAGGCTTAAAAATAATCCTCCAGCTCTTTTTTTTCTGTTTACCTGTTGCTCTTCCTCTCATCCCTTATTGCATGTACTGAATTCCCTCTGCAGTTTGAGTCCTGTGCTCCTGAAGAAGGTGTTGCATGTAGAAAGAGGAACTGAGGAATCACATAAATCAAATATGCAATTCATTGTAGTATTTGCTGATGGATAGGTGAGGCTTTTCAGATCTCTACCAAAGACAAAAATTAGGTACAGAAACAACACATACAATTATTTCCTCTAGGCAGGTGAAAGGACTAGTGTAGCCTTCTAGGCATGGTATGCAGTGCTCAGCAATACTACTTCCAAGCCATTCTCTCTTCACTCCCACTTTATTCCTGCACAGGTCCTTTAAAAGCCAAATTGATTTTCGTACAGTCACACAGCACAGCTGCAGAAGGGTAGGAAAGAGTACTATGAACAGGACACATGTATCTAACCCTGAAAACTCAGCACCCTGAAACAACATCTGCATTCCTTTCTCTGTCCTCTGGTATATGTTTGTGTGAGAGAGAAACTTAATCTGTGTCTTAATTATAGTAAGTGCATAATAATACTCAGCTAGTTGACTTCCACACCTCTTTGCAAAGCTGTTAAATTAGTTGAGAAAAAATGTTTTTTTTGAACTTTTTCTATTGTTTGAACTAAAATAAGCTGCTTATTGTGCTAGACTATTATTGGCCTTGTTGGTGATATCATGACATTCTCTAGCTTTTGCTCAGGCAGATCTATATATAACATGACCCTTACCCCCACCTGTCAGTTCCCATGGCCTTCTTGCACTGCTTTTCCGCTTGTTCTGTGTTTTTCCAAAGGATCCCTGTATGTGCCTGTTTGATTTTGGGTTCCATTTACAGCTGATGGAGAGGTGTCAGCTTGAGCTGCAAACTGAGATAGGTGGTGTGTCTTGCCTGTATGGGAAACCTGGCCTCCTTACACACATAGCCAGGAGTAACTCCTGAGGAGCAGTGTGAATGTTTTTCCTTCTCTATAGCAGTTACTCATTTTACCTTGTGATCCCCTTCATTTTGTAGAAAAGGACTCTCCTCCGACAATTGGAGTGCCCACGCTGTCTATAGTAGCCTCCACAGCGAGCTCTGTTGCCCTGATTCTGCTGTTAGTTGTGCTGTTTGTTTTGCTGCAGCCAAAGCTGAAGTCGTTCCATCATAGCAGGTGAGTGTAGTTGGGGCTTGGAGGGGCCAGAGGCACCTGTTTCTTAGAAGTAGAAACCCATTCAGGTAGTTGGGTTAGACCTTTGTTTTGGAACAACTTAGCTCCTTGCTTCTGTTCCCTCTTTTCATCACCTCAGTGACATCTCTGCCCCATACTACTGATCCAGTGCTTTTCTGAATGGTGGTCTCTGATACCCACCTGTAGTTCTTATGTGCCACCCAAGGAGCGACTTCCTTGTGCTTTTGCCTTGGCTTTGAATGGAATAAGTCACGATATTTACTAGCCTGGCTATAGATCAATTTCCTCTAGCCTTGGATAGCTGCTGAAGTCTGTCTGGGTGTATATGTGCACATCTTTCCCAGACTGCTTGACCAAAAATTAGGCAGTACTACTCTTTAGATACACATGCAAGTCCGCCATCCTTCTCTGCGGTGGGAGGAGAGCCTTCCTGGCGTGGGTTTGTGGGCGAGAGGAGGGACCCAGCCATAACACTGCTGCCAGCTGAGGCAGACACTTCAGCAGTGGGGAGGTGGAGATGTGGGGCTCTGGAGTCTGCCCTTTTATGAAAAGGCCCAAACTACTAGAGAAGAAAAATTTTCTCCCAGGCCTTATGAAGCCAGGTGATTCACACTGTGCCAGAGCTGCCTTCCCCATCCTGTCAGAGGTTATCTGGCCGGCAGCAGAGGCAGTGGAACAGGCAGTGCTGGGTAGTGTGGAATGTAGCAGTACACCAGGCTGGAATCGACTGTGCTCTTTGCTAAAGGCACGGAGCAGAGGCATGACCTTTGTCAAATTTTGCTGTGGAGGTAAGTGAGGTGAGGGAAGCATTGTAACCTTTTCAGCCCTTGCTGCTAAATCCATCGGGTGCTGCAAATTTACAGCCCGTGCTCGTGTTTAATGGCAATTCATCATAGGGCTCCAAGACTGTGCTTGCTTGACGTTGTTAAACCACTAAGCAAGTTTCTATCCTCCCCTAAGTGTTGAGAGTTAGAGTTCTGCTATAGGAGGTTACTGGAGTTCTTGGTAAGACATACATAGTGAAATAAATACTCAACTTAATTTCTTTTTTTCTCCTCCCCCCTCTTTGTTCCTTTCCTTTTTTTGAGGCGAGACCAAGGTGTGTCTGGAGATCAGGTCTCTATTATGGTGGATGGTGTCCAAGTGGCCTTGCCATCCTATGAAGAAGCAGTATATGGCAGCACAGGGAATTGCATTCCACCCTCGGACTCCCGAGTGCAGATCGTGCTCTCAGAGGGAGCTGGACAGAATGGACCCAGGGAGATGCAGCAGCCGGACCAAGGGGCTCACAATACCTTTGAAAGAGAAGATGAAGCCCCTGGACGTTCTGGACTGTGTGAAGCCAGTGGCTCTCAGCGCTCTGAAACTGTTCTTGTGCATCAGGCTGCTACCTCTTCCTGGGTAGCTGGCATGGCTAGCAGTAGACCTTTACACAAAGAGGTCCAAGATTCAGAAAGCAGTGACATACAGAGCCTTTTATCACTCACTTCCTCTGAGGAATACACAGACGGTAAGTGACTTGTGCAAGGAACACTAAATGGGACCTGTTTAAGAGTAGGGTCTGCAGCTGACTATCTAGGGTAAAAAATGACAAGGGATGCCCCTATGTGTGTCTGCCACTAGAGCAGCTTTTGGAAAGATCCAGTCTCTATAGCATGTTTCACCTCTTAAATATGCCAACAGTATTTAATACCTTCTTCTGAAGAATTTGGTGTTCTCAGACTGGGAGCCTAGGGCAGTCTGAGCAAGATTGTTTACTGCTTACTCTTGTTTTAGCAGAGGATTTTCAGAGAAATCCAGCCTCCAGCATCATAGTGCTAAAGCAGTAAGATAACTGTTTGTAGAAACTAAGTTGGTGGGAGTGGGAGGACATGCTTGGAGTACAAACCTAGTGATGTTTGGGCTGCTTAATTTTTAGACTATTTTAGTAAGCAGCTTTCTGCCACAAAGCATTCAGTGCTGTAGCCTTAGCCTGCAAAACCTAAGAGGGATGTGCTTGAACTTACTATAGAGGGTAGAAGGGCAAGTCTGTTGAACAGACAAAACATCTTTTATTCCTCACTTCTGTGCTGTCCTGAAGGAGTGGCTTTGCAATGCCAGAGATGATGTGAAGGTGTAGCTGAAGGTTGCTTCTGCAGGGACTGCTGTGTCTTAGGCAGGAAATGTAATTGGCTTGTAGATAGCTCAGGGCAGAACTTCCCCTTTCCATGGTATTAAGAGATACTTTGTGCTAGGAGGGTAATGGAGGACCAGGTAGACACTCAATCTTTGTCCTTGGAGTCTTTCAAGGCTGGAGCTGGTGATAGTCCCACTTTCAGAGGCAGGTTGGAGCAGAGTCCTCTAGAGTTCCTTTCTGCTGTCATGTGATGAGAGGGAGACCACTACATTGTCATGTTATGAAAGTGAGAGCCTGTCTTGTTTTCAATGGTAATTTTTCTGGTGTGTGTTGAACTGCAGAAGTTTGACTACTTTTTTTTTTTTCTCACCCCACCATTCAGATATTCCCTTATTGAAGGAAGCATGAGGTCTGCTGTGTTTCTCTAGTCTTCTCCATCTTGGATTTCTTCCTCCTCCCCTCTCCCTGCCTTTGGGACAGAAGCACTCTGTGCAGTCTTCCCCATCCTCGCAAGCTGTACCCTGGATACCTCCAAGAAGAGATGCCCTCAGCTGAAGATCCAAAGGATGTTACCAGGTTGCCTCCTGGATGCACCAGTGGAGTTGGTGCAGTGCTGGCTTCCCCATTCCATCAGCATCAGGGGCTCAAGGAACAGAGTGGATTTGAGCTCTCCTCTTCCCCAGCCAGATGTTTGACAGCAGTCTCTGAAGAGCTGCTCTTTTCTTGTGCCTTTCTCCTCCTCACACCGGCTTGTTGCAGCTTATCAGCCTTTCTAGCCCTTCTGCTGCCCAGAGAGCAGGGGCTAAACCTGCTTGCTCGCTGGGTGCAGACACAATTTAAATATATGTATACATGTTATATAGGCTCTTCTTCCAGCAGCCTCTTTGTGATAGGGCAGGACAGAACACCTCAGTGGGACTGAAACTGGGCTTGGGAGGGATCGCAGTTAAGGGGCAGCTTGTGATGTCTAGAAGCACCTCAGATGAGATGGGCTGCGTGGCAGCTTAGCCATGCAGGAACAGTTCACTGAGAATTGCTTAAGCACTAAAGGCTGAGAAGTCAAACATGTAGGAATGCCCTCTGTCCCATCTCTGCGGGAGTCCATTCCTGAAAATCACTTTTGTCTCCTTCTTCTTCCTCTACCAGTGCAGCCCACTGGAAGAGGTTCAGGTGTTTGAAAATACCAAGACAAAAAAAATGACTGTAGGTAGTGAATTCCTAGTGCCATTGGTGCAGTCCCAAATTCCTTTTCCAGCCACAGTAGGTACTTGAACCCTGGGTAGCTACCATCTCATAGGCTGGTGTGTCTTCCTAGCTTCATTCAACAAAGGGTCTGCTGGTTTAGCCAGGTGGGCTCCAGTGGGCCCATAGAGAAGGGCTCTTCCCCTGCTGCTGGGGGTAAGCAGCATTTGTAAAGCTTCTCCTAAACAAAGTGCCAGCCTGTTGCTGTGAGGGAAAGTCAAGTACTCTGATGGCAGTGCTAGAGGACACCACAGCTCAGTCCTGAAGTTGTAAGGATTGTTTCAAGTTCTGGTAGTAGGGAAGGGAAAATTCAGAAATATGCATACCTCTGCCCCCCACAGTTATCTACAGCAGGTCAGACTGTCCGTGTTGGGACTCTGTAACTGCAGGAAGCCACATTTGTCTGGGGTGCGTGGTCCAGTACAAGTGCTGTGGTGGTTGTAAGATCCCTCACTGAGGTCTGGACACTGTTCCATGGGATTGGTTTCAGCAAGAAGAGTTGGCTTCTTAGATGCTGCATGTACCTTGTCATAACTCTCTTGAAGTAACCAGGGAAGTGTTTGCCCTGTGAGAAGCTGCTACATTTTTGAGTTGAAGGAGCAAAATGTCATGGCCTTACACATCACGTGGTAATGTACAGGTAAACAGGGATGTTGTCTTTGCTGCTTTGCTTTTGGTTTACAGTCCTCACCATCCTCATCCTCATTGCTATAGTAAAAAACATTACAGCACTTGACAAAAATGATACAACATCTTTATGTTGGTTTATGTGGGTTAGCTCCAGTTCTTTGAAATGGGGATTAGCCATAGTGTCCAGCTGTGTATTTGTTACTCCTTTTCCTGAATAGCTGTTAAATCCCAGGACACATGGAATAGTGTGTGTCTGTGGGTGGAAAAATCCTTTTTTCCCTTTCCTTGTTATAGAGGGATGTTAATTTAAAATTACAGTGTTTTAAACATCCTTCCCTGTTGCTCATGTTACCTTGCATTAACACAAGAGTTTGATAAATCCCATTTGGGTGGTTTAGGTATTTTTGGTTCAATTTGGATGGTGAAAATCCTGTGTCATTTTACAGTGGGCTGTGGTGTCTCAGCTTCAAGCGCTGTAGAGGACAAATGTTGTTTACACATCTGCCATTGGAATTTTAAAACATAAGCATGGGGACGATTGTGTTTAGCTTTTTGACTGTTGGAAATGGTCTAAGCTTGAGTAAATTCTCCTTCATTGGTTTATTGGAGGGGTTGAGCAAGTGTAGTGGTAAGGGAGTGTGGAGGAAAGTCTGTGTGACTTTCCTGCTGCCTAACCAGCTCAGAGCAGGAGTTGCTTTTTATGCATTGAAGGTCCTGTCTGCTCAAACTGACCCTCAGCAATTCAAGGTATAGAAGTTGGGAATGTGTTGCCTTCCTGAAAGGGAAGTGCTGGGTTGGTGGGAGAAGCTGGAAGCTGATCCCAAGGCGTGACCTTGCTCTGGATGAGGACCTGCACCACCAGCAGAAAACATCCTCTGTGGCCTGGCCTCCTCTCTGCTGTTGTAAAACAAGCAACTGCCAGCTTGGGAGAGAAAATTCAGTTAGGGTGGGGAAGTAAAGAAGACAAGCTCTACAAAGAGGGAGTGTTTTAATTTCACAGAATCACACATAATTAACTAGGACCTTTAAGACCATCAAGTCCAACCTATGACCGAACACCACTTTGTCAACCAGACCCTGGCACTGAGTGCCACCTCCAGGGATGGTGACTCCACCACCTCTCTGGGCAGCCCATTCCAATGCCCAGTCACTCTTTCTGTGAAGAATTTCTTCCTGATGTCCAGCCTAAATTTTCCTGGCACAGCTTAAGACTGTGTCACTGGTTACCTGGGAGAAGGGACCAATCCCCACCTGGCTACACCCTCCTTTCAGGGAGTTGTGGAGAGTGATAAGGTTTCCCCCGAACCTCCTCTTCTCTAGGCTGCACAACCCCAGCTCCCCCAGCCTCCTCACAGGATTTACCCTTCACCAGCCTCGTTGCCCTTGTCTGGATTCATTTGAGCATCTCGGTGTCCTTCCTAAATTGGGGGGCCCAGAACAGGACACAGCACTCCAGGTGTGACCTCACCAGTGCTGAGTACAGGGGGACAATCACTGCCCTGGTCCTGCTGGCCACACGGCCCAGGATGCCATTGGCCTTCCTGTTCACCTGGGCACAGCTGGCTCATGTTCAGTCTGCCATCAGTCAGTAAACCCAGGTCCTTTTCTGCCTGGCAGAACTCTTCCCCCAGCCTGAAGCGCTGCAGGGAGTCATTGTGGCCAAAGTGCAGGACCTGGCACTTGGTCTCATTAAACCTCCTATCATTGGATTCTATACAATTTTTTGGAAATGGCTTTACTAATGAATGGGGGAAATGCAGAGGTGGAAGAGGGAAATATGCAAGTGTAGCTATTGTGATCAAGCATAAACATGCAGCTTCTCTTGTCTTGTTGAGGGTAAGCCAGCAGGTTCCAGGCCAGTCTCCATAATCCCATCTGATGATTCCAGATCCTGCAGAAGAGCTCTGTTCACTGCAGCAAATCTTTTTCAAGGGGGAGGGAGAGCAAGGCCTCACTTTACTGGTTATCAAATGATTATTATTCATTCGTGTTTGTTTTAATTCTGCAGAGGCTGAAGGACCGAGAAGGCTTTCGGTAGAGATGTAGGAAAACCTACTTTGCACAGTCCTATCTTTACTTAAGGGAGCAAGGCCTGAAGCCTAAAGATCGCTCAGATGTAAGCTGTGCTCTGCCTCAGGAATGTTCATTATCTCTGGGTTAAGTGTGGTCTCTGTGGATTTTGCCATAAGTAGATGCAGCCTGAATCTCAGTGTTGTGGATGGGAAGCACAGAGGCTCAGCCTTGCAAGATGTAATACAGTAAATAGGTTTTTTCCCTGCACTGAGGCCACAGTGCAGGGAAAAAAGGTACAGTCTCGGTACCTTTTCTTCCCCCACCTGTGTCTGGCAAAAGATTTCAAAGGGAGGCATTTTTTCTTACTTTTCTTACGCCCAACACAATCATCTCATGCTCTGTCATATGTGCTGGATCCTGTGATACTCAAGAACATTAAGATTATTTAATTATATTCAGAAAAATAAAAATAGCACTTATTTTAAAGCTTTCCATTAATTTTGGAGTCTGATAGTTGGGAGGGGGAAAAGGGCATTTCAGAAATTCAGGATATTATGTGCAATAGAAAAACTTCCTTGCTTCTTTCCAGTTCCATAGTGTTTTTAAAAAATAAATGCAACTCACTGCAGTGTTTACAGCCCAAGCATTGTAGAACTGGACCAGCTTGAGAGAACCAGGATGTGAAGTCGGCAGTGACCCATGGGGAAGTGGGCCAGTCTCTTGTCAGGGTCTGCATCATGAAGCTCACCTCAAATGATGAGCCAGCTTGGACTGTGTCAGAGCCTCCTTCAGCCTTGAAGGGTGTCAGCAGCACTGGAGAGAGAGGGGTTTGTGTGTTCTGCCTTTAAATAGCTTGTGCCTCCCCATCATTAACTGCAGAAGACGTAAAAGTTAAGCCAGGAGAGATGCGCTGAAGCATGCGAGTTGTTGCCGAGTTAAAACATCGTGAGTTTGGGAGGGAGAAGAGCTTAATGCATTTTTATCCTTAACCAACAGGGAAGTTGCTGGGTAGCAGAATGTGTACTCAGCAAGCAGAGTGCTTTTCTCCCCCTGGACATCTCTGCTGTGGTTTTTCCTTGGCCTTTCAGCTCCGGTGTGATGAACTGTTTACTGCATCTGGAGTCTTAATTTGTCCTTTCAGTGTGTGGAGAACTCAGGAAGGAAGAAAGCTGTTTCACATGCTTCGGGAAGAAACATCCTAAGATACTCCCAGAGGTGGATGACTTGGGTCAATACTGAGGAGTGTGGGGCTTAGAGAGCAACTGGCTCAGCTGCTGGAAATAATCTGGGATGGTTAAGTCATTTGCAGCAGAGAAAAGGGAACACAAGGAAGAGCTGAAAGTGAGGTTTACTGCAGGCTAATGAGCTAATGCAATCATGACCAGGTTGTAAGGAAGCTTGTGCTTTGTTAGATGATTTAGCATACACCAGCAGGCTTGCTGTATATAAAAAAAAAATAATGTACAACTGGTAGGACACACTGAGCTGTCCTTGCTGACCTTTTTAGAACATACTTGCAAAAAACGTGGTTTTACTGTTCTGATAGCAGTTTAAACAAATAATCTGCCTTGTTACTCTATCCAGATAACTATTTAAAAAAAATTTCACTTTGTTCTTTTGTATATAAATGCAATAAATTCACTTTGCACATCCTGCCTCACCCCGTCCTCACCCTTCAGTCCGTACCAGGGAACAGCAGATTGAATTTGCTCTATGTGAAAACCTTTGCTTGCAGAAGAACTTCATTAGAAAACAGTTTTTCTCTACTATAGGCTTTGAAAGTGCGAAGAGGTTTCCTAGAGCAAGCTTCATTTTAAGGTGTATTTTTATACAAGAAGTAAGCCTTTTTCCAGTCCTAGCACACCAGGACAGAACACACCACTTCCCACACTTCAGGGCTGTGTGTTCAGCACTGCTTTCAAACTCAACCCTCTGCAGGTGATGTTCAGATCTCTGTACCCACCAGAACACGTTGTATTGATACTCTGCATATGCTTTCTGTAAGCTATGCTTTTGCTTCTGTCTTCGAGTGAGAACAGACAGAGGCAAACTGAGTTCTGCTAGAAAATGTTTTAGTTCAGATTCTCAAAGATGCTTCCCTCCAAAAGAAAACAAAGTGAAGTTGTCTGAAGCAGAAGTCCTATGATGTGGTGGGTAGACTGCTGATAGTTGCTGATGCAAGTGCAAGGGGAGCTTGATTGCCTTTCTGCATTAATCTTTTCTTTCCTATATGTGTTTTATTTTTATCTGAATTGCACCACTATGGAATTATTTGCAGAATGGTACTCCGTATGTATGTGGGATTTAAAACCATAACTGATGCTGTGCAGGATGTCATTCAATTGGTTTTATTTTGCTTTATTTTATATGTATTTTCTGGTATCCTGTACATTGCAGTGGGTGTGAAGATAGTATTTTAATATTTGTACAAAGTTTAATTTAATTGTTCTATGTATATAACTGCATTTCTAAATTAAAAAATTCTTTTGAAGTGAAGCTATAATTTCTTGTGTTTATTTTTTTTTTTTTAACTGCTTAGGACTTGTAGCCTGGAAATCTAGCAGCTCATTTTAAGGATTATGTTGCAGTTGTGAAAACCAGGATGAAGCTTAACCTAGGGAAGCTCAAATGGCTTGGGGAAGAGAGGTTCAGAGTTGGTGCAGCCTCAGAGGAATCATGTTTACAAGTTCAGAAGCAAAGGCTGTCCCTTGGCTGTCCTTGCATAGAATTCCTTGAGGAATGAGGCCAGGCTGGGCACGGGGGAAAGGTTTAGAGATCATGGATAGTATGAGTGGATTTCAGAGGGGAAGACAGGGTAAATATAATAAATGGCTAATTAATCTTGGAGTCTGTATAAGAACAGTATATATAGCAAGAGAGTGCTATTTTTAGAGGGAAGATAGCTTTCACTGGTGAAATAATAATCCCAAGTGCATAGCAGGACAGTATAGGAGACATTAGAGAGATCTACAGATATGTGGGTTAGTGAATCTGTGACTGCAGAGGGGAGGCTGGGGCAGGCTCTGCCCTCTTCTGTTGTGCTGCACTGGGAGGGCGGGAGAAGCAGAAACTGACACCCGTTGTTCTTTCAGTGTGATATATTGTCCATTGCTATTTTTATTACTGTTTGTTTTGCTTCAAAAACTGAGGTAACTGCCTTTTCAGGCAAGTGTATTAATGAGTGTTCCTTTCTTTTAACAGAATGTATCAGTAATGTAATAGGAGATGGAGGGAGGAGATCCCTTTGTCCAGCTTGTTCAAAGCAGTCCTCAAAGATGTTAAGATTTTTGTGTAATTATAGACATGTCTTTTATTCTTTGGGAAGGAACAGCCAGGTTAAAGACAAGGGAAGGGGTGACATCCACCTTACTCCTATTTCCATTTGTTCCAAAAATTATTTCCACACAGCAAGCAGATTTTACTGTAATTTTACTTCTGCAAAACTGGTCTGTGCATACCTTCCTGTACCAGGCAGTTGGCACGTGGGAGTCGTTGGCCTCCAGGAATTGTTTTTAATTATTGTTTTTCACTGGGTGATGGTCTGCTGCCACAGCAGTTCTGGCAGCCAGGAATGTGCCCTTCTTGACACGCTGGAAATTATTTGTCACCTCTGGTTTGTACTGGCAATGAGGAATGACTCCGGGAGACAAGCCTGAGGTGGGTGGTCTGGGCAATCTTCCTTGACAGCTGGCCCTTCGGCGGAAGGGCAAAAAGGCCAGGGCACGCAGGAGCGTCTCTGCTTCCAGAAAAGCAGCCTCGCCACAAAGACTGACCCCCGCCACAAAGCCTCTTGGAGAGGCTCTCTCAGGAGAGGGGATAGATGGGCTCCTGCCCTCCCCAGGCGTCCCGGCAGCCGGCACGGAGCGCTGCTTGGGCTGTTCCTGCGCTCCGGGAGCACAATGCCGGGAGCACAGCAGCCTCGCTCCCTGCGGCCCGCAGCGCCACCGTGGGAAGGCTCTGCCCTTCAGGCAGGCTAGCTCTGCCCCTGCCGG